GGCAAATAAAGATTTCCGTAATCATTACAAAACTCTTAAAATCTTTAATATATAAAAATTTTACGAAGTTGTTAATATGTGTTGTTTATTTTTAGAATTCATATATTTCATACACATCAATACAAATATGGCTCATTGTTACTCCATCTTGGCTCATCGCAGTCAATTATGGCTCATTGTTACTCTATATATAGAATTCAAATATTATCTAGTTTCTAAGTGTATGTAATCGGAAAAATGCTTAGAGAAATTAAATGAAATCAAAAGAAAATAATATTTTATTCACTAAATAAATAAATATTTCAATTTTCGAATTTGCATCCCGAAACATTATAACACAGTACACGACACCTTTATAAATAATCTGTATAATATGTAATTCAGCTCTTCATTATTTTTATTAATTGCATTAATGGTATTCATGTCATTAATCCAACAAAAATTTTCTAAATGGTCATTTACACTTTTTAAAAATAAATATAAATAAAAATTTTACACGTAAATTTCATAAGAATTTTTGTATATTCGAATAATTTTTATATATATGTATGTACATAAAAAAAATATTTAAAGTGTTCGTCAAATTAAGCTCAGACAGATTAAAGTTCTGCCCTCTTTTTGTCTTTTTAATTTTCTTTACGAGGTTTTACGATTAGTCGGTATACGTATAGGTGGTCGTACTAATTTAATTGACAAATACCTCTGTATACATACATAGTAATAATACAATATTGTGAAATTTCAAGTGTAGATTTGTATGAATTAAAATTAAAAGAAAATCCAGCAACGATCATTTACTTACCCATCACAATCATAATTGTCGTTATCGTAGTCGTCTTCGCCGTCGTCTTCGTCGCCGCCGCCGTTTAATATAAGAATTGATGATTTCATTTTTATAGACTTCTTTGAATAATTTTATTGTTTGTTATGTTGTTTTTTTTTCTCTTTTTTTTTGTACTCTTTGAAATGCGCTTAAATATTTTTGCGTCTTAAATATTTGCAACCATTTTAGGTTAGTATGATATGATGGATACTTTACATTTGTACGTGTATATATATATGTACATATAGGTGTTCTTTAATTACAAATTGGAATTTTAGTATTGACAAGAGGGGCAGCCGCCGTGCAACAAAATGTAAGCTGCTAAAACAGTATGAATTGAAGATCAAAAACAAAAAAGTGTTAATCACCCTGTTTTTTTCTTCTTCTTGCCTTTTTACTCATTTTGTTTAAGTACATAGTCTTTATATTTTTTTTTTAAGTTTCCAAAAGAATTTTGCAAAAAAAAAAAGACTAACGTGAAAGCTTTTGTTCCTTTGTTCTTTTCTTTCTCCTCTCGTTTTTTATGGTGTCAGATTAATAAATAAAAAAAAAAAATAAAATAAAAAGTGGAATATCAAAAAATCGCACACTATAAAAAAAATCATTATATTTTTTGACGTTTTTGTTGTTTTTTTTCTTTTTCTGTGTCTGTTATTCATTTCTTGTGCACAAAACTTTTTCAGATGAAAACAAAAATTTAACTATAAAAATTAAAATTTACATACAAAGTACATACGATAATTTTTATGATGAAAAAATATCCAATCCAATTAGCAAATTAAATTTTTTTTAGCTCAAGCTCGAACCGCTTGTGTAGGACGGGGCGAGGCGCCTAGTATGCGTTAATTTCCAAAATATGTATATGTGATTTTAACTAAAATTGAAAGACAAATTTCTACACAAAGCATTATTACAGTTATTAAATGCAAAATAATTCAAAAAATATCCAAGTATTCAAAATATTTAACATTGATTCCCGAGAATGGGACCAAAATATATTTCAATTTTGGCATTATATTTAACATTACAAATTTTAAATATTTATTACAATTTAAAAATTTAAACATTACCATGTTCAACTATTTATATTGAATCTTTATTTGCAACTGTATAGCATGTTAAACATTTATCGTTGACTCCCGAGCATGGGACCAAAATATATTTTCTATTCGCCATGTGGTTTAGCCATGAAAATGTTATATATTTATCACAACCTAAGAATTTAGATATTACCATGTTCAACTATTTACATTTTATCCATATTTACAGCTAATTATGGTATGTGAAACACTTGTCGTTGATTCCCGATCATGGAATCGAGATATTTTCCAATTTCATCATCCAATTTCGCAAAATTTTTTAAAAATTTGGACATTATTTTATTTGTCTTTGCATTCTTAATCTTATATTTAGTGTTTTTGGCTTTTAAATAACCTTGACCAATGCAGATTTCTTGAACTAAAGAAAGAAAACACAAAAAAAAATCAAAAATAAAAACATTATAAAGTTTCAATATTATATTTTGTGTATTAAGAACATCTCTTACAATATTATTCACATATCGTAAATTTTTTTTTGGTCTTATATACTTATAAAATTAATGTTTATAGAAATGTGTACGATTTATGTACAATAATGTGTGCAAGTTTATTTTATTCGACCCCCACTTGATGTCATATTTTTAATGTGCACATTCATACTTACGTACACTTTAATTTTATTTCTGATTTTGATTCCTTATAATTCTTTTGTTTTGGTTATGATTTTTGTTTTTTTTTTTTTTGTTTTTTAATTAAATATACATATTTTATTTTTAAATTTTTTGTTTATTATTTATTGCTGCTTTTTATTATTAAAATTTTTTATTTCTTTTGTTAATAATAAAACAAAAAGAACAACAAAAAACATAAGGTAAAATGGAAAAACGGTTGAAAAGCTTTCAGATTGAATCAATCGTTTTAAGATTGAAGACATTAAAAAAGGCAAGAAAAGAGTATGTATGTATGTATATACAAGTATAGTAATATTAATTTAGCTTTGGTATAGTCACAGTAATTGTTAGATGTGCATGCATACATGAATCGCTACAAGTATAAAGAATATTTGAAGTTTTTTTTTTAAGTTCATTTGCACGAGATTTTTATTTGGGTATAACCAATTGCATGGTTGAAAAAACCTAGATATTTTTAAAATGACGTAACTGTCCATCTGAAAAGAATTTTTGAATAATGTTTGAAAATTTATTTTGATTTAAATTTAAATTCAAATATTTTATTGTAATGAATCTTATAATTAAATTTTAATAATATGAAAATAGTATAGTAAAATGAATAGCATAAGCATGTAGGTATACTATTCGTCTACGTCTTGTTTTGATTTTCAATAGTACATACAGAAGAAGATTGTGGATGGATGTATTTGTAAAATTCTCATTATCAACAAACCAAACTCAAATTTAAATATTGAGCAAAAATATTTCAACAGAAACTTAAATTCAAAAGTCAATTGGCAAATAGACCCAATAAAGAAACATAAATTTTGACATTTCGCATAAAAGTCTCTTAATAATACCTCTCTTGTTATAAGTGCTCTCATTAGTAAAGTAAACTACATATGTACGTATGTGAATTACAATGCTTTTACTATTTTTATGTTCAGTTAATTAGTAGAGTTCAGCAATTTGATTAAACATATTCTAATTGCTTTTGAAATTTTCTTTAACAATTAAAATCTAAAATTTAATTTATTTATCAATTTAAAATCCGCCGTTACACTTTTTACTCGTTTAATCAATTCAATTTGAATATTTCATTCAAAAATGTAACAGTAAAAAACAATGGCAAACAATTAAGTGAATTTAAATAAACAATTTTTGTTCTCTTATTTTTTGACATTTCTTATCAAGGACATCAACCTTTGCATTTTTTTAACAATCCGTTTATTTACATTCCTCCGTTCGCGGTATGAATGCATGAATAAAAAAATTAACACGATAAGTTTTCCGAAGTTGTCACAATAATAATAAAATGCGACACCTTGCGGGAAACTTAATTTCTTTCTTGAATTTTTTTTTCTAATTAAAACAAAATGTATTCTCTTATAAAATGCTTTTTTCTAACATAAATTTCACAAGATACAATAAAAAACTCAATATTTATGTAGTTTTATTAAATTATTTCACTCAATTTCTTCCATTTGTTTGTTCATATCACCAATGATTTCTCCGCCGTTTGAAGCTCTCATATTATTTTTGACACTTAATAAATATTTCATGATATTCTATTTACACATACGACAAAACTAAGCTTAAATACATAATTAAATCTGGCGATTGGTTACATATTAAACTAAATTTGTCCTATATACAAAACATTTGACGTCAAAATTTAACAATTTGCTATGAAACTTATAACCAAAATAAAAAACAGTTGATCTCTCCTCAATTCGCTTACAGTGTTGTCAATATTAATAATCCATCCAGTTTTTTTCAACAATCTATCCAGTTCTGTCCGTTTTAATACAGCGGCATTTTAATTTTCTATGAATAATTCCAACCTCAATAATTCTAACTTAAATCTAATTTAAAGCTAACACAGGAATTTTTTTATTTGACAGTTTAATAAAATTTTTAAATCAAGATGGTAGAAAAAATATATTATATGACTGCAATAGAGCACGAAGATGTTACATAACTACAATATGTATTTCGTAAAGAAAGACTTTTCTAAATGAAATTCAATGCTTCTAAGAATTTAAAAAAATTTTTATTAGGATAAGTGTGCAATTTGAAAGGCTTGGTGATTTAATCACAATTTCTGTAGTAATTTTGTACATTATACAAATTTAAAATATGTACATGTAGTTTATGTCATAAATACATATTTATTTTCATTTCCTCCATTTTATAAATCCAAATAAAAATGCGACATCTATTGTCAAAAAATGTTATTATCATTTTTAAACCTTTTCATATAAATTCTATTTTACCCAGTAAACCATTAATAAAGAATAAAAATTTCTGTTCTGAAAATGTCAAATATAACAAAATGTCATAGATTATAATAGGAAATGTCAAATTGTCTTTGAAAAATTGATTTTTTTGGACGGGAAGTTTTTTTTTGCGAATTTTGCAAATTGCGATTAAAAATAAATTTACAAAAATAGCTTTTTTTTTTAAAAAAAAAAGAGAGAAAAAAAACAGAATAATAATTAATAATGGTTGATATTTAAATATAAAATATTAAAAACATTTAAAAAGTAAATTTAAAGAATTGAAAAATTGAGATTTTATTAAAAGAAGAAGGAAAAAAATGTTTTTATTCTACACAACAATAGGATAATTTTCTCGGTTTTTTTTTCTTTTTTGTAAAAGTTTTATCGTTTTTTTTCTTTTTTTTTTTTGTGTGCTTTCTGTTTCTTCGTTAGTGTTCAATTCTCAAAATAACAAAAACAAAAAAAAAGAAGAGGAAAGGATTCGCGAAAATAATTTTTTTTTTACCTATCCCGTAAATGGCGTATTTTTATACTTAAAATAATAATGAAAAAAATTTACGAAAATTTAATTTTTTGAGACTAAAGTCAGCAAAGAATTGAAATTTGTTTCATTTTTTCAAGTTGTTTTTTCATTTTAAATAAAAATGACAGACGAAATAATAATTGTTTGGTTAAATAGAATTCTAAAAAGCCATATTAAAAAAATTTACAAAGAATTTTAAGGGAAAAAATTGTGATGTAAAAAATTTGCCAAAAAAAAAAAAACAAAAACCACGCATCCATATTAAAAAAAAAATGAAATCAAAATCATATTTTTTTTTGTTTATTAAAAAATTTTCAATGGAAAAATGAGAAATTTATTTTTTATTGAAATGAAAAGTGTAACAAAAAACAACACACATTAAAAAAATTAAAAATAAATTTACTTTTGCTACCTACTGAAAACAAAAAGTTCTTTGGTTTTTTTAGTATACGCGATTAAGAAACAACTAAAACAAAAAAAAAAATCATTAGAAATTTTTAATAGAAAAAATAAAAAAAATAATAAAAATAGTTATGATACAATTTAAATTATTTATAAAATTTATAAGAAAACATACACCTATTAAAAAACAAAAAAAAAATCTCATTGTTAAAAAATTTTTAAATGCGATTTTTCAAATTAATTTTCTGTAAAAGAACTTTTTTTTTTTTGTTTGAAAAGAACACACAACAACCAACCAAATAAAAACAAGACATTTTCAAAATAGAAAATAAAAATGTCTGTTAATTATAAAATCCTTAAGGGATAAAAAAAAAATATAAAACAAGAAGAAGAAGAGATAAATAAGGACAAAGATCAGTCACAGAGAATAAACATGTAAGTATAGAAATCTTTTAAAAAATTGTATTTAATTTTTAATTTTAGAAAATGAAAAATTTTTCTGAGGAATTTTGTTGAGTTCTACTGCTATTGCTCCTGTATATCATTACTGGAATATGAAAATTATAGCTGCCATAATAAATTTAATAATATCACGAAAAGTTGACAAGAAAATAGGCAACCTAATTTTGTTTGCTTGTAATTTACATTTTCTCTGTCAATTCGAAAATGCTTTTAGTTATTGCAATTATTGTGCATATTACCTAGCCTTATATACAAAACATATGCATACGATACAACAAAGAAATGAATAATTAATTGATTAATATGCAAAAATAATGCATTAATTATTAACGTAAATTATAATTTTACATTCAAATTTATTTGAATTTTAATATTGAACTAGAAAAACTGCTGTATGTAGGTACTTATATTTAATAGAAAATAGAGATATGGCCAAGAAAAGTAGTGTACATAAGGCAGAAATATCAATCTGGTGATAATTTGATGATAATTTTAGTACGTTAAGTAGTAAAATATTGATATTTCCGGAAAAGAAGATAAGACAAAATAGTAGATATAAAATAATTAGGTTTTTTTTTTTGATAAGGTGGGCTACCTATAATAATTTCAATTCTATTCAGATTTATAATATCAAAATCTGTTGTCGTGATATTAAATTATTAAATAATAAAAATTTTATTAAATTACAAAGTAAGATAATGAATACCAACTTATTTAAATTGAAAATTTAGAAGAATTGAAATATAAATTAAATTTAATTTAATGAAATAATTAAGTTGGTAATAGTTTGATCCATTCAAAAGGGGTCTACAACTTAGATCTGTCCATATGTGTACATAGTATTTATTATACTTCCCTAATTTTGTATTGCTTATTATTTAAGAGAGTAAAGACTGGTCTTATTATTTATTTGGGTTTTAAATATTTTACAATTTTATTCTTTCAAAACAGAAATTGTAAATTGAGTGTACCTTCCCGCTTATGCTATATTTAGTGTCAATGTCAATAATAAGAGTAAATCTACTTACCAACTTAAATATTATTGCACAATATTTAATTTAAATGTTATAATTCACAAGTAATTACTCGAAATTTATAACCCACTTAGTTATGTAGGTAGTTACCTACTACTTTTAACATTAAAATTCGGAAATAATTGTAAAAGAGCCTCCTAAATTCAAGTATGTATGTAGGTTGATGTAGATACAAGAAAAATTACTTATTATTTTAATTGGAATTTAGTGATTAGGTGTACCTCCCTATTTATAGACTCATTCTTCTGACAGTTTATGTTCTTTGAACCTACAAGAAACGTTAATAAAGCATAAAGGAAAATTAGTTTGTAGGTTAATGCTTTGGCATTTCCAAATTCTAGTCTAATATTAAAATTTTGATTAAGAGATGCGTAGTTGAAAAATATTATTTTTGTGAGGAAAAAATATTGAATATTTCATTAGGTATACTTAATAATTTGATAAAATTGTGTTTTCTCTTGCTATTCCTCCATATTCTTCAATTAAATTGTAGGTTTATCTAAATTGGATATAAAATTTCATGAGTTTAAGTTTGTTTGCTAAGTAGAATCAAACCTATAAGCACTTACTATTTAATTCACTTATTCAATTCATGATTTGAATAGCAAAATCAATTAAAAAAACAAAAACAAAGTTGGTATAGGTAAGATAAAAATATAAAAAGATCTTCACTTCTAAAGTCCGTACAATTTTCGGATATAAAAAAGAGAATTAAAACGAGTTTTAAAAATTCAGAAACACACAAAAAAAAGCTAAGTAATGTTTTTTTTTTCTCTTACATTTACCGGTTTTTTATTCTTTATGATTCTCTTTTTTTTTTTTAATTCTACCCATTGTTATCGCACTTTAAAATAACCATGTTATAAATATTGCAAACCATTACTCAAAATTAACCTTTTTTTTTCTCGTATTTAGTTTGTAGTTTTCCTTTAATTTTATGAATTTCTTGAATAAAATAATAATCGTCCAGAGTTTTTTCTTTCTGAATTTTCTTGAACAGACAAAATAAGGATTAAATTTTATAACAAAAAAAAAAAACATTGTTGTTTTCTTCTCTTGTATTTTTCTTCATCGCGTACAATAAGGGTTGGAGGAAGCCGGCTTCTTCTCGACTATTCTTAATAAATTTTATCTGTTACGATTTTTAAAATTTTTTAAAAATTCGTTGATTAAGAAGATAAACTTTAAGATATTAAGGATGTTTCCTTTTTTTTCGATTGAAAAGTTCACAATTCTCTCTATTTTGTGTTTTTTGTTGTTTTGCTATGCGCCTGAATATTAAGTTAGAAAATAATGAAAAACAGTTGAATTCAACATAAAAAAAAAAATAGAATAATGAAAAACAAATGTTTTAGGGAGCGAAAAATATTTAGAACATGAAATATATTTGGAAAAAAAAAATGAGACAAAAAAAAATATTTTGAAAGAAATTTTACAAAAATTATGGAAAATGAAAATATTTGGTAGACCTGGTAGACAAATTCTGGTTTTTAAATAAAAAATAAAATGAAAAATTCTATCAAAATTAGAAATTAAGTAGTAAAGAGTGGTGGTTTACTGTGTTTACGCTGTCGCTATTATAAAATATGCATGTTTGATTAGATGTTTTGAGCGACTCGTGTATTTTGACAATTAAATTAGCAATATCGTACTGTTTTATAGGCAGAGTCTCGGTAGAACCAAGCAATTTATTTATATTTCTGATATTCAATTTAGTTATGTAGCTGCCAAACTAAAAAACAACATGCTAATTATAAATTCAACTGCGTATTTAAAGTTAAAGGTAAACTGAAAAGAGTTAAACAATTTAATTGACATTGTGCAAAAGCTGGATACACAAGAAAATAAATCACTTAACAAATCACTAAAGACCTAACATAGAGGAAACGGTGTAACATTTTTGTTACTGAGTATATTTAATAGAGAAAAGCTAATATTGAAATTTGATAAGAATTCAATATCATTCTTATTCTACAGAGTTCACGGTGTGATTTATAACGGAATTTCCGAGTTCACCTGAATTTAATCAAATTAAAATTTGTCAATTATTAAAAACAAACTGAATTTCGATAAGAATTTTCTGTTCTAGAATAAATTAAACTGATTTTAGTAGCTCGACGGCGAAAACTAATCATGAGCGTGGCCATTAATCATGTCTGCAATTTCTGCAAGTAAACATTTTTAATAACAGTGTTATTATTCTTACTTTTAATATAAAATTTCATTTTAAATAATTTTCATAAAATTAATGTTTTTTATAAGTATTAATGAAAAAAATCTGTGAAGTATGCTACAAGAATTTTTGTGAACCACGGCAAATACATAATAATTTTCAATACATAATAAGTAAGTAAATAATATATTTAAACGCATAGATACATAGACTCTTATATAAACTCTTCTTAAAAAAAATGAAATTGTGCCAAACATTTTCAAATAAATACTTTATGTGTACATACTCTCATGTACGCAAAATACATAAGTTACTTACCGTAACATATAAAAAAAAACAAAAACGAAAAATAAAGAGAATGTGTGCCCTAAATTCATTTTTTTTTTCTACATAAAGAATCTGAAATTTTTTATATAAGTATGCAATTTGGTACATTTAGGGTCGTATGACCAACAGTATACATACTTATATACAAATGTAAATGGTGGTACATACCAGAATTTTTTTTTACGTACATACATATAAAATTTTTATCTATGCTGACATTTTTATTTGATTAACGATTATTTTATTGGCAGAAATTAGAACTGAAAATTGCATATAAAAATAACAAAAAAAAAATTTTTATTGTTTACTCAAATTAATAAAAATTATCACTTTTTCTATTGTTTAAGGGCACTTCTATTCTCTATTTCCATATTGTTTAGTATTATGCTATTTAATGCAAAACACTTATTTCAAATTCACGCAACACATGTACATGTACTTAATTGAAACTAAATGGAAATCCCACCTCCATAATACACCAAAGTTAATTGAAATGTATTGTAAACATTCTAATGAACATAAATTTAAATATATAAATGTATTAAATTATATTGTAAAATTAAATTAGATAAATGTTGTTATTTGTAATATTTAAAACCACAATGTCTAGAATAAATTTTATATACCATTATTATGATGGGCGAAGCGAATGGCTAGGCGAGTCGAATGGACTAGGCGAATCGAATGATATTCTAAATTATAATCGGCGAATGCTTTCATTCGCCAGATCCAAAATATTGCTACCGCAAGACATCAGGAAACCTACCGAAAATAATTAGGTTACCACACCGTACATTGTTTTTGTTTTTGTAAAAACAATTAATTTTTCCTATCCCTTTAGCAATTACGGGGTTGTTTTCCATTAATTTATTTAAATGCTCGAATTGTTTTTGGTTCGTTTTTTTCACGCTTAAATTAATAAGTATTAAACAATCAATATTTTTTACAATAACTTGTAGAATTTTATTAACTAACTTTACAGATATTTTAGATTTTTCCATTATATCACTAAAAATCCTATAATATTCAATAAAAAAAAACACTCATTTTTGGTTTCATTCGCCAAGCTTGTCACACAGAATTTTCATTCGACAGATTTGACAGCTCATTTGCTAAAAATTTAGGCGAATTCGCTTATCATAATAACAAATATTCATATTCGCCAAAAATTTCATTCGCTTCGCCGATCATAATAAGGGCCATAAATTTAATAACATGGCCATACTATTAAAGTGATTTAATATTGTATACATACTTTATTTAAATATCAGGAAAAATTCGGAGTTGAATCCAATCGGGATTCAATTAATTTCTGGAATCATTCACCGGCCCTTATTTATTACTTATCATAATTTTTTCTTAAATTTTTGATATCATTGAAATAAATGAATGCTTTACAACATAAAAAGTATTTCAAATAAATTTTTAGGTTAAAATTT